AATCATTGATGCACAGTAATGCATTTATGTGTAAATGCCATTTTGTATATTTTAATGCATTTACCTCATTTATTGGTTAAATATACAAGAAAGCATTTAAGGATTCGAACAGATTTATCCTTTTTGACCCAGTGTTATCATTATATAAAATAATTCTAGTGGATATTATTCAAGTGGAATATAATGCGATGACTTCCGAATCGCGCAGCCGATATCTCATAAGTTTAGTGATTTTTCTACCTAGCCTATAAACTTACTATATCACATTGGAGAAAATAAATACAAACATTTGAAAAAAGACATTGCAACAATTCAATTTCTATGAAGAATATACTGAAACAACTTTTTCAAATATATGATATGATATGGACATGAACATGCGGCAACAATGTTAAGCGGACAGAAATAGTTATAAAATATCAGTGAAATGTGTTCTATTTCTGCGATCCGAGTATGACGCGATTATATAGCGACATTTCCGAGGCATCAATTTTAAGGCATCAATGACGTCATTGATACATAACAATGGCGGCATCCGCAGCGATCCAGATATGGGTACTTTGAACTTGAATTATATGTTAGTTCAAACACGATATGTCCCATGAGTGAGCTGAAGTGATAGATGATGGTTATAAGTAGCCAGCGTGTAAATTAGAACATGAAACTTCGCATTCCCTTTAAGGCCATTTACACTCTCAAAATGAAGATCAACCATAATAAAGTGGGAGGTTTGATTGATTTGTCAAATACCTAGTTAGAAACATGTAAATCTTACTCAATTATCACTGTTTCTAAATCAGTATTTCACTTCCACAAAATATATTTTAAATGATTGAGCTCTGCCATCAGAGACCACCAAAATTGTTGACAACTTTTAAAAGCAAACTTATCTATGATATGTAAACAACCAACAAACCAAAAGTCAGCTTTCAAAACGTCCATATCAACCAAATATTCAGTCCTTCATAGTTGTATTTAAGGAATAAAAACCGAGATTTCATAATTTATGGCGCAATATATGACCCAAAGTTTTATTCTGTTCATTGTTAAAAGACTAAAATCATGTGGCGATTAATGTCTTTGGCAATGACCAGACCGAATAAAATATTCGGTCTGTTATGATTGATACCCTTCGCATGGAAATCGCGGCGATATTTTGTGCAAATAAATTTCTCGTTTATTACAAGAATGTTCACCTTGAAAATTGGTGAATATGTTGAAGAGATGTTCATCTTAAACTAGAAGCAAAAATATTTGTATAAAGCGGGTACAAGTTTTACGTGTTATTTGTTTACAAATAGACTGATGTCACTGGTTAAATCTCGTTTATCGTGAATATTAGCATTGGCAAAATGGCTTGACCTAATCTAATCAATGCCTTCGCTTCAAGAAGCGTCTGTATGTTTTATAAATATCTTCAGTAAGAGGACACAAAATAGGAAAAAATAATATTGTACACTGTATGCAAAGTCAGCACTATCAATGGTATACTCTACCTTTAGATATAATCCTAAAAGTTCAAAAGCTTTTTGCCATTTTGTTTTCACAACTGCGTCCTGTGTAAAATCGTATGGTATGACTCCACCTTTTTTTTTTTTTACTTTATACCAGCATGTATTTATTAAAAGTTTGTGATTATTATACAATTCTCTCTTTGTATTGCATTCCTTTTTTATATTTAAAATTCTTTTTTTATTTCAGATAATTCAAAAAAGATGACATCAATTTCAAAATTTGTTTACATAAGTTACCTGTTGCATTACATGATAATATTTCTCTTGGAGAGCTCTATTTTAAAATTATAGTACAAGACTCCACCATTGTTTTGCCGTTTCACTACTTGCCACAATCAGCCTCACTGCCAGCATATCAAACCAGGCCCATTTTCCATCAAACCTGGCCCAACTACTATCAGGTGGGTCCTTCAAAAATCAAGTTGGCATGGTTACCAAAGCCTAATAGTTGCCATGGCAACCGTAGAAATGGGGTAAAAAATGGGAGCAAAAAAGCACCCAAACCCACCATTTTTTTTTATTAAAAAACTATATTTCAAATCAAAAACATATATACAGTACAATTAATACATTTACATATAAAGGTTACATGTTGTAAAATGATTTTTCCCTATTACATATCATTTTCAAAGTTTCCTGCTCATTCAGCAGATCACATTTAAACATATGAATAGCTTTTTTTTATCATAATCACACTTTTAAAATATTTTTCTTGTGCGAAATTTTCAATACAAACTTTTTGTTTATCACTGAGACAATTACAATCACAGGTGTTCCAAATATTTAAAACTTCTTTACACTTCACAAAATAATGCATATCATCATCAATTTCATTATCACAATATTAACATTTATCTGAATCTTGTATTTTACACTGTTTTAGATATTTGCCACTTGGATAAATTTTATGGATAATCTTCCATTGGATAATTTTGAGTTTATTATCTTTTGTACAATTAAAAAGTGTGTTCCACACATCCTTACTTATCAATGTATTATCATATTTAATATCACATTTTCTTGCCAAGACTAACTCTGATCGTATATATACTTTGAATCTGATTTACATAATTCTCTATTTACAAATCTCAAGTTGTTATTATTCTCTTCATCTCCATACTTTGTCATTAACTCTTGTTTAACACATGCTTTTAAAATATTATACTGCAGCATGGTTTGTCCATTGCGCTGTACATTTTGAACTATGACATTATATGAACATAACATTCCATCTTTAACAATATCATTTATATAAAGTACATCATTTTCAATCCAATGTTTAAGAAATAATGGTCCCAAACCATGGTGGGTCACGTGCATTATCTCATGGAAATGGGCATACCAGTGCAAAGATCTTTGTTCCGTGATAAAGGAAAGCTATCAAACATTGTCTGAAGAGCATTCTAATTCTACTTTTAACATGGCGACCTGGACAACATATAGCCATTTGGGCGATAATAGGTGATTCTAAAGTGCTTTTTTCGTAGCTTTACTTTGACCAAGGCTTGCAAAAAATTGAAGTGATAAACCTTCCCCCAATTTTTGATATTTTTGTTGTCTAGAAGTGTTCTAGATGATATCAAAAAAAGATTGTATCATTTAGAGCAATACATTGGACACATTTACTGAAAAAATCACAAGATTCTGTTCATTGACCTTTCCTGAGCACCTACTTTTAGCTATTTTTCAGTCACATTTTCATAGGGCAGAAAAGGTTACTTCATCATGTTTAGGGTCATTCTGACCATGAACATTGTGATCCTGGACCTGTAAATGGTATTTGGAACTAGTTGCATTGACTGGAGGTCAAAACAGAACTCTGTTATCTTTGTTCAAAAAATGTCTAAAAATACAAAAAAATTGTCACTTCCCGTTTTGTCATTTCCTGTTAAGGTATGAGGTTCCATATCCATCCGCCAAAAGGTATGACCCCTATATAGTCCATTTAAAAACTCGTGGTATTGTTCTAAATAACGCCATAGTTGGCTTCTAGGGTACCTAGTATGCCACTATTTGGTATCAAAATAAAGAGGAGGAGTTCAACTTTCATTTGAATTACGAAAATAGCGATGTAGGTCAAAAATAGTTCCAACGTGAGGTTGTTTACTACGCGTTTGCCCGTCGTATCAGAATTGAGGAAGTGGTAGCAAACGCGAGTCACAATAAATGGACGCTGATATCTCAAAAAGTAACCTGACTCCCTATAATTTGATGTAGATCAATCGAACCCCTATATGAACAGGTACATTTTGATATATAACACTATGGGGGGTAAGCGTTTTATAGTTGGTCACGAACGCCATATGTGCAAAGTATTGTTATGAATTTTCGAATTTGGTGTTGGATTACGGTACTCATACCTTAACATCCATAGCACCTTAAGTATATGCATTGTGGCCATTTGAGGTATGTATGTAAAGCCGAGGCCAATTACTTTCTAAATGTGCCATTTTAGAAAGAAATCGCAAAAAATATAGTGCCGTAAACTGGAACTACTTTATTCGTTAATTTTCATCGGTGAAGTAGGGATTTTACCTAAAAATGAATCCCTATGTTGGCGTAGTGATATTTAAAAATCGAGACGCAAACCCTATGTTAAATGTATGGTCAAGATGAAGGTTATGTATAGGGGAACGCAGAAATATAGTTATTGTATGGGCTCATTCGTTCGAAAATGGCGATATGTATCCCAAACTTGAATTTTGTGATTTTTTCAATATTTTTCAATGATTTACCGTAGTGACACCTAAATGGAAATATAAACACTTCCGGTAAATATTCGGTTCAAATGCGAATTGGACAAACTTTTGCAAGTTTGACCAGGAAATCACCTTTCATTTGGTATGTTAGTAACGTTTTTGATCGTATTGGGTATGTAAGAATCATATACATGTCGAGTTATTAGCATAAATGTCACAGTTTGAAGGATAAATGGAAATATAACACTTCGGGAAATATTGTCACAAAAGCCTTTTGGACTTTTAGTCTCTATATACTATTCCCTATATTTTTAGAATATACCATTGACAGTGCTGACTGTGACTGTATGTTCCTTATAAGGTAATCATTTTATCATTATACAAACTTATTTGTAACATTTATACAACACCACATTTTACAATAGGTGACTTATAGTCTGAATTTATGGTGACTTATAGTCTGAATTTATTCAGACTAAGGATACAGTCTAACCTCTAGACTACCGTGAGTGCAAAGCATGAAGTCGACAACGTGACGAGAAACTATTGTGTTCCCTTACTAAACTTCTCCAACATGTACAGAATAAATGTAAGAGTCACTTACCGCAATATTATTCACTTTATACTGCGATATCATCTATTTAACAACATAAATCTTAGAAATAGAAAATTACGCTGAAATCCAGAAATTTTCATAGTTTTTATTACGACAATTGTGATTGGTCAATAGGTTTAGTCAGAGCAATCGCACCAATCAAATTTGTTGTAACAACCCGAGTTGGAAAAAGTTGGTTTCTTTTTGAAGAGCTTCAAGTAAGCATTGGAAAATTGGTAAGGACGAATTATGTTTGTTATCTAAACTCCTTATCTTATAGATGTTGCAATGATAGACTATCAATATAGACTTCGTTCCATGACTCTGGTAGTTATTATTTTCGAACTGACTAACCTGGACACAGCCAGCACTTACTCACTTCGAGACTTTGAGAAACAAATGTCCTAAATATAAAAACAACTCAAAATAACCCCACATTTATGGGGGTATTGAAATGTAGCCGTAGATCTATTTCAAAATCTGTTTTACTTTAGCTACACCACTGTTCAACAGCTGGATGACTCTAACTGCGGGGGTTTGTGTAAAAAACCGGGTGACCGAATATCATGTTGGCGTTAACGTCATCATCAATTTCAGTTAGAGTCATAGGCCCAGGGAACATGTATAAAATAGCGAGTCGACATCTGTATTACTACTTCTTCTTTAAGTAGTAATACAGATGTCGACTCGCTATTTTATACATGTTCCCGGGGCTTATGGTTAGAGTCATTCTAAGTGAAGCTGTTTTCTTTAAAATTTTCCATTATTGTGGGTGTTTGAGCCTTTATTTGTAGTTGTTTACAATCATAACTTTATTAGTTTGCATGGCAAAACTTTTGGAATCCAGATTCAGCTTGGTTTATCTGGAGTCGGAGGTTTATTGAAAACTAAAGAATTTTGGCAACCATCTTGAATGAAGCTAACTGCAGTTAGAGTCATCCAGCAGTGGAATAGTGTACACTGTAGGCCTACTACTACTAGGCCTAAGTCTAGTAGCCTAGGCCTAGTCTATTCAATTTCAAATTCTATCACTACTACAATGTATATATGTAGATGTAGGACTTGATCATGAGAAATGCCAGAGTCACTGAACTGACAAATGTCAGGGCGAGAGGCTTTCTTAGGCGAAACCTCCACAGTTGCCCATGTAACATCAAAGCCATGGCTTATATGGTCAGGCCCCATCTAGAATACTCTTCTTCAGTCTGGGACCCTAACCAGCAGAAAGACTTGGCCCGAGTAGTGATGGTGCAGCATCAGGCAGCCAGGTTTGTAGCCAAACAATACTCCAGAGCTCTCCAGGGAGCCAGGAACTATCACTAAGCTTTCTAAATACATGCAATGGTAACTGCTTGAGAACAGAAGACAAACCAGAAGGCAAACCAAACACTGCTCCATAAAGCCCTTCATGATGAAGTGTGAATACCCATTCCCTCTAACTACATCAAGAAATCTAAGTTGTAAAAGAGCCCAACAAATCATCTCTGTCGTTGCCAGAACCAAAACCTGAGACTAACAATAACATACCAAATTTTATGTTAGTCTCAGCTGAAACATACTAGAATAAAAAATCAATAAAAAGGCCACAGTGCCATATTATAATATGAAAAATTCATTCAGAGTGTACCTGTATATGCAAAACGTTTGTTATATTGCAGTTATAATTTAGTTTTATGTGCAATAAACCCAGGCCCATAACCAACCAGAGGGGGTTTGAGGGTTTAAGCAAATCCCCCCTGATCAAAAATTCTTTCAAAGTCTTGCAGTTTTTCACCATTCTGAGCACTTTGTATGTGATTTTGGCCATTTTGGGATAAAATTGTCAAATTTGAACCCACCTGATAATTTTTTGAAAATCGCCCCCCCCCCCCCCTTCTTGGCAAAAGGTGGCTACGGGCCTGAAAATCAATACCATGTTGATTTGTTTCGAAAATAACATGGCCAAGAAGCATCAAAATACTGTAAAACGGGTAATTTTGACACTGGGAAATTTAAGCGATTTTCAATTTTAGGGGGTTTTAGCGCGGGAAATTTTAGCGAAATGAAGATTAATCTTTAAAAAATCAAATTAGCGAAATGCATTAGAAATTTTATCATTTAATAACGGACATGACAGAGGAATTATCAAAATGTAAGACTTCTAAAGCACATGGTATTGGTCCAAACTACTGTAATCTCATCTGACTAATCACAAAACCACGGTAGCATTTAAAATCGTTGATTTTTCGGTCCAAACTAATCTCATCTGACTCATCACAAAATGTAGCATTTAAATCGTTGATTTTTCGTCTTCACGGTTAAGATATACGTCCAACGCCGTGAAACATGTACCGGTAATTTCACGTTGTCGTCCTAGTTTTGCATTTCTGTCCTATGAGTATGCCCCTAATGCCTGGGTCACATTTGCTCCGATCCATTACAAACCGGAAGTCGAGCACTGAACGAAAAGCTCCTTAAATACTAGTATTCATGTAGTTTCCTGGGAATTTGCTAATTTTAGCGCCCGGTTTATTTTAACCCCGGTTATTTTTAGCGAATTAGCGAAACTATAGCGATCGCTAACAATTACCCCTCGCTAACAATACCCGTTTTACGGTATAAGAGGGAAGATGCCACACATTTTATTTGCCAAACCAGAAGCAATCCAACTAATATAGACATTTTGCATGTAAATGAATGTATTTATTATAATATTCATATTGCACTGGGGTCTTTGAATGCTTAATTTCTTTAATTTTGATTAACAGAGAGAAAAGGTGAAGTGGACTTTAGTTTAGTAATAGTAAAACTTTTACTTCAGTTTGAAAAGTAAAATTATACATGATTAGAACTTGAGACCAATTTCATTCAAAATATTCCACAACTCTGTTCTTGATAATTGTCTTGAACATGCTTACATGCACATGAAAGTGTGTAGAAAACATATACCTGTGTACATTGTAGCTCTTTAACACAATTAAAAAACTCATTTCATTTTGCTAGCTTAAGCTCCATGCACTTAACATTGCATAGGACCTTGTGTTAGTCCATCAGGCTTCATGGGGCAAGACCCATCAAGAATGAACATGTCCATTATTTCCATGGATCATCATAGGTAGGACTTGTGTGACATGTCAGGTGACCTTTGGATCAAAATGACGGTGGCAAAATCTTCTAAACTAAAATAACATCATTTCCGTGGGACTTGAATGGGCATAATGGTGATTGGTGAGATGCAATGGGATTCATTGGGGCAATTGGTAATTTGCCTCATTGGTGTTTGTTGAGCTAATGTCGGCTATATATTATTAATAGTACATGTAGATTGTGTGTTAGGTTCAAGCTTTAGAAAATACATTATTTATCTGATTGAAAATGAACTTGAATTGTTTAGTAGAATGATAAAAACATGAAATCACCACTTAGACCCTTGATAATATTGCAGAAGATTGAGAGTGCGCCTGTTCTTTATTTATTTATTTTAAGAGTTGTCAGGCATCTGAATGGAAGCCATATTTGAAAACAAAATTTCACTAAGTAAACATTTGCACAGGTTTAAAATTCCCACTCTGACGCATTGGGTAAACTCATTTTATTATTTTATTTTCAGGCTTTCCTCTATTTCGGCTGCAAGCAATCTGGAAATACATTCTGCAAAAATCATTGAAAGTTGAAAAAGTGTTCCCCACCAAGAATTTACAATATTTGCTTAATCAAGATTTTAGGGCTTATACTTGTAGATGCATTTTTGTCTCAAAAAATTACTAAGTTAAGAAAAGCCACCAAAATGTTAATTGTCCTAATATTGATATTGCCTTTATTAAACAAAGTGGATGACTAGAGTTGCATGAAATATATCTATTTTCATTTTGAAATTCCAAATTGCTGCAAGAATGCTGCCTCACTTATTTACAGGATTAAAGCAGAAACTAGCTGCAATGTAAGGTCAAATACTATACAATCAAAGAAATGTTTGAATATCAAGAGCAGAGACGTCACTGTAGAGGAAGGATATTGCATCATAGGCTTTTAGAATAATGTCTAAATCATTAGTTTTTTGTTTATTGATAATTGATAACAATATGTTTGTCATAGCATCGACAAACAGTCCGCTTGACTACAACACCGTATGTAGTCATTGGACAAATACAACATTGTATGTAGTCATTGGACAAATACAACATTGTATGTAGTCATTGGACAAATAATATTTAATTGAGATAGAGATTTTTAAGGTACATAAGGAAATGGGATAATGTATTTGGTAAATAAGCTTGAAGGTTCTACTACTGATATATGTATTTGATCAGGGGTCCAGTTAAAATATTAAATTACACAACATCCACCGCCCTTTCCCTCTCATTGTAATACCTACAACATATTTGCAAACCCCTCCTCAAATAAAACTTCTCAACTTTATTTTTACAGACTTCAAAATTTTGACATAATCCCTTCTGTGTACTCCAGGTTGAATATCAGTTCATCTAAACAGTTTCCTGGTATGGAAGATAACAACTGCATCAAGAAAATGAAACTAGATGTGGAGGTGGAAGAGTTCAATAAACTTTTTGAAGAGCTAAATGAAGAGAATACTATACAATGGGGTGAGAAAGTCCCTGAAGTGATGGATGCAATGCTTTACTTCAAAGAGGTATGTGCCAGTGAGGTATACTTTTGTAGTTTACATAGCTTTCAATATATAGTGACCACATAACGAAAAATACATAGTTATCCAAATGAAAAAGTTCAGGTCATGTATAGTATTGAATAGTGACTGGGCAAAGCCTTCAATACTGTATACTGTATGTCATTCTGTATTTTAGTCTGGGATCTAACCCAAACACTAGTGAACCAATTTCCTTCATATTTCAGAGATAAAGAAAAAAAATGGTGAGAAAAAAATGTACCCATTTGTTTTCCAGTGGTGATAACAATACGTTGTTCTATCAAAATCAATGCTTTATCATTCATAGGTTGCTGCTTATAATGTCCCATTTGGCAAGAAGAATCGTGGTATGACAGTCATCAACTCGTACTGTCACATGATAGGGTCCGCCAAAGTCACAGAGGAGAATAAACGTAGAGCACGGATACTTGGCTGGTGCATAGAATGGGTAAGTTATTGGATCATTTTTAAATACAATAAGCAGGTTTGATTTTAAATGTTTTAAATGATATTTAGAGATTTATTACTAAAAACATGTGATGATTTCGCTTTTTACAAAATGATTTTAGCCAGGGGTCAACAGTAAATACCTAGAATTCATATGAATTCTCCCTAATGAATAAAATAACTCCCATAACATAATACTTTTATACAACAAAGTATTTGTACATTTTGTTTTTCAGCTTCAGGCATTTTTTCTTGTGGCAGATGACATCATGGACAAATCTGAACTTCGGCGTGGAAAGCCATGTTGGTACAAAAAGGTACATATTAACACATTTACAATGCCAGTCCTCAACAAGTAATATTTCCCTGAAGCAGTGTAGTTCTTTTGCTCTAGGATATACCTCTTGTACTATTTTTCCCATAATCATTCATTTATATGTTTGTTTATGCTAATATTCCAATAACTATGCAACCATTTCCAACAATCAAATATTTGTGACAATCAAATATTTTCTACAATTTCAGGAAAGCGTTGGCATGAATGCAGTAAATGATGCCTTTCAGCTTGAGATGTGCGTATATGACATGCTGAAACGTCACTTCAGAGACCAGCCATACTATGTTGACCTTCTGGAACTTTTCCACGAGGTACACATTTCCTAAAAGAAAAATGCTACATGTACATTTCTTTGCATTTTTAACAAGTGGTTCAATATAGCAGAATATTAAAATTGTAGAGCTTTCAATACCATCAGGCAACAGGAGATTTTCTCTGGTTGATTCTATCAAATTAGCTTGTTGTTTTGAGGAGTTTTGCCTGTGTGTTCACATAGAAATTGTAGCTTAATTGTTTTCATAAGTTTTACCTGTTGTCAGAAATTCTTACATTACCCTGAACATGATTTTTTATTCAGGTATCCGGACAGACCATAATTGGACAGAATTTGGACATGTTGGCATCTCCTATTGAAGGAAAGGTTGACTTCTCTACATTCACCATGGAGAAATACAGTGCAATTGTCAAATGGAAAACAGCCTTTTATTCATTCTATTTACCAGTGGCATGTGCAATGTACCAGGTGAGGCCTTTTGTAGATACCAGAGTAAAGTAAACATTGCCTTAGTATGTACTGCCTTGTTTCTTATATATTGTGGCCTAAATTCAAATTATATGTCACAATTAAGGGACGAGTTGTATCAATACAAACCTAGACGATATTCCTAACCAACAATAATCTCTTTGGCACTATTAAAGTCTACATTGAGAAATGTTCGCATTAACATGGTTTCATAACATGGGAGTTAATATGGGACATCAAAAATTGACTTGAAAGATTTAATAGGCATATCTTATTTTTAGGCTGGCTTGAACGATGAAGTCTCACATCAAAATGCGAAAACTATACTTTTAAAGATGGGGCACTTCTTCCAAATTCAGGTGAGTCAATAAACCAGATGCGAGTAGGTAGTTACCAGTTTCACCACCAGGTGGCTAATTCGGGGCACATTACATGGATATTAGAAAGTTCCTTTAAACTTCAATATTCTTTTTGATGGTTCAATTTTCATATTCCCCTTATGTATCTGATAGTTATGCAAATTAGAATATGTCAAGTTAAAGAAAATATTACCTATCCAATACAAGAAAAGATATTTCACTTTTTGTGATTATTATAACATGGAGTCTATGGGGAATCTCCTCAACCTAGAAGTCACATTTTCAAAGAAAATTAATGGACCATTCTCGGTTTGGAGAATGAAGTTCATCGACTTTTTTCGACGCTATCAATGTCTCCAACAATTTTGATTTTTTTTACATAGTGTAGGTTGAAATGTGATCTTTTGAATATTCAAGATTTAATTATGGTTATACTTTTATTTATTTCATAAAACAAATATTAGCGAACCCCCACTGTGTTATTAAAGACAGAGGGCTATTGAAATTGATATTTACTCTAATCAAAATGAAATCTTACATAGTAGAAATACATGTAATGTATGATTGTACTTTAATTTCCTTCTCTAAACATGTCTGGTGACAAAAAGCTCAAGTTTCCTAGATGAAATGGTCAATGGGACTTTAACACATGAATTATTTAGGGGCTTTGCTAAAATTTGTTTTATGAAAGAAATAAAAATAAAACCATAATTAAATCTTACATATTCAAAAGATCACATTTCAATCTACACTATGTAATAAAATCAAAATTGTTGGCGACATTAATAACGTAGGAATAAGCTGATGAACTTCATTCTCCAAAATGTGAATGGACCTTTGGGACTGGCCTAAATTGTTCAAATTGCCAGGTGTTCACATTTTGATGTTTTACATGGAAGTCTATTGCATGTCAAAATTGGGACTTAAAAAACGCATTAACATTGAAAGGTGTTCAGGTAAGAGAGGTGTTGGGAATTATAGTTTTAACTGTGTATTTTGTGAATGTAATTGTTCTGGTTATTGTTTGAATACCAAATACATTTGCTTATTCTCTGAGCTTAATTTATCTTTTTCATGAACATCATTTGAACATCTCTCTATAGGATGATTACCTGGATTGCTATGGTGACCCAAAAGTTATAGGTAAAGTGGGGCGAGACATAGAGGAAAACAAGTGTAGCTGGCTTATCGTCCAAGCCTTACAGAGAGCTTCCCCTGAACAGTTACAGATACTGAATGTAAGATATTTTCCAGTATATAGATGCATATTGAATAATTTTTCAATTTGAACAACTCTCCCCAAACTTTAAAAAAATTTGCTTGGTGAACAAGTCTTTTTTGCCTGAGAGAGGTTTCTCTGTATTCAGTTAGTATAATTGATGGCTGCACATGTTTGCAGTTGAACGATCATTTTGAGGTTAAATCAGCGGGAAACAAGAGGTGTCTTTTCCTTTTCTTTTGACTAAAATACCACTTGTTTTGACTGTCTGGTCCATTTCTTGAATATTATGATCTGCATAAGCCTTTGCTCTGAATTTCAGCTAATTTTTAGTTTTGCATTTTGACATTATCACGGGGGTCCTACTTTACAGGACGTATCGTAACCACTATGTCTCCCAAAACTGCCAATTTGAATTTTAAAGCTACCAGGTGTTTGAAAATCAAGGATTGTGAGTCACACTTAGAGGTGTCAAGTATTAACCGGTTAACCGCCGATAATGCCTTGACCGGTCTGTGTTTTTATGGGCGGTTAGTTGACCGTGTATAATTCTGTTATGCTTACTTTGCATTTTAATCTATCTGTGACTCACACTACAACGTTTTTCTTCAAACTTGTTTCATTCAGACCTTCACAGAAATACCTTTCAGTTGATACATTGCTATTGTGTACAGAGTCCCTCGTTTTAGCGGCATTTTGGTACCCAGCTGTGAGATTAAGCAAATTTTCATACATTTCAACTATAAGTCTAGATATCTCGCCAGTCTTTTACTCATTCCCGCCCATAATTTCAGAATAAACCCACATTGCAACCCCCCATCGCTACGTCTTCATTTTTGGGCATTAAACGCAGCAGTTTCAAAATCACTCGCACAAATCTGATTGCTACACTGATATTCAATCCTTTCAGAGAATCTTTCCTTGTCAAAGCCTTTTACCAATTTCTACCAAATTTTCTAATTCCATTTTTCAGGAGAACTATGCTAAAGATGACCCTGCCAATGTTGCAAAAGTGAAGACAGTATATAATGAACTGAATCTAAAGCAGGTTTATGCAGACTTTGAAGAAGAGAGCTATTCAGAGCTGATCAAAACTATAGAACAACAAAGTGGAGACCTACCTCAACAAATGTTCCTAGACTTGGCCGAGAAAATCTATAAACGAAAAAAGTGATCAATTAGGGATTTATTTCGTCAGCATTCAAATTTCTCATTTGAGGTCAAATTGAGTAGCGTATGGAGATTAGGATTAGGATTAGGAGATCATATCCATCGCCTTAGCCTTTACACTTTGGTGCTTTGAGTGTTACTTTGAGAAAAGTAGTACTTGTGACTGTTTCATTTTATGTCACCACCAAAAAATGGTGACATTTTGTTATGGTCTCCGTTTTTTGTGACAGCGGTTGGCAATCGGCGGTTGGCGATCGGTGGTTGGGGGTTGGCGTCTGTAACAAATTCTTAAAACTTCCAATAACTTAACAAATACTGTTTAGACTGACTTCATTTTTTTCAAAATCATCTACAAGTTTTCAGAAGTTCAAATCTGACTTTATATTTAAGATTTGACCTTCAATGTCCTTTTCAAGGTAAAAAAAAGTGAACAAATGTCAAAAAAATTGCTTCAAATTGACCAATCTTTTTTTCAAAATCATCTACAAGTTATCAGAAGTTCAAATCAACAGTTCAAATCTGACGTTAGATTTAAGAGTCGACCTTCAATGACCTTCTAAAGGTCAAAAATTCAACTTGCTTCAAATAAACCAATTTGTTTTTCAAGTTTTCAGAAATTCAAAACTGCAATTTAAGATTGACTAATAATATTGTGATCAACTAGGTGGTGACATCTTGTCATCTTAATGCCTTGTGTGAAAATAATGCTCCACTCATCGAGTGGATGTAGTTAAGCTAGCTTTATAGGGGTCTTACAAGCAAAATGAATTATTCAGTTGTTTCTTTATATAACATAATATCTGGTACAGTGCATGTTGTAAGCCATGCAAATTCTAGAAAAGCAAGACCTTCACAAGAGCCTTAAAGTTTTCAGTCAGCATTTCAATCTGTGATATGTAACATATAGTGCTTTAATATTTAAGTCATCCTCCGATCACAGGGCTTCAAAATCCAGAATATCTTCTTTCTTTTTACACCCTGCTATAAGCAGTTAGCATTTCCCCGATTAAGAACTCGCAATCTGATTGGTTGTCGCAACACTGCGACAGAAATCATGTATAAGTCATTGCGCATAATTAGATCATGTGATTCAGTTTAATCGGGCGCTTCCAAATTGGTTATAGCAGGGGGAAGAAGGAGGTACGGATTCTGGATACCTGCTTAGGAGGATGTATTTAAGTATAAATATTGAATATTTTAGTAATAAACTGATAGTATTTGATTATACCAGAATGTTCTGTACAATGTAAAGCCTTGAAGACTGCAATCAGGATTATTAAGGTTGTACATGTATTGTTAGATTGGTATTCATGCAGTAAACAGGTAACCAGTGTGTTCTGCATTCATAAGTACCAGAATTTAGTAATCACAAAACAATTGATTGGAATAATATGGAACCAACCATCGAATGGTAAAAATGTATGAAATTAAACGTCCAGAATTGTTATAAATTAAAAAATAAATAGCATTTTACAAATTGTAGCAGGCACTTTGTGTTGAACTGTATATAGTACAGCCAATAGATTGCTCAAAGCATATCAGTATAGCCAATATGTTGATAAATTTTTATAGCAAATACATGGACATGTATGTTGTTCAACTTTTACAGCAAATATGCTATTCAACTTATACAGCCAATTTGATGTTAAATTTATAAACCCAACAGGGGCGTAGCCACCTTTCAGTCAGGGGATTGCGATCGCCCAATTTTTTTCAGGCAGGAGGTGCGATCGTGGCATAAGCAAGGCATAACAATTTTTTTAAAGATTTGTTTTGAATTTTACAAAGATTGATGCAACTTCCTTCAAAACTGAGCTAGAAGTTTCAATTAAAACGCATTTTAAAGCTCTTTTCTTCTATCTGATGATGCTATTTTTATTAGCCTACGACTATTCCGATTGTTGTTCAACTGTTACAGCCAATAGGTCGTTCAGATTGTAGAGTCAATCTATAGCCAACAATGCAGTCATCTGATTACTTACATATTGGTAAAGTAATCCTTCGACTTCTGTTGTCCACATTTTGATATACATGTAATCACATTTTATGGCTAACTTACGTTACGTAATTCAAACTTTCTAAGGGTTGGGTTAATATTTCAATGTCCGTCAAAAAACTTTAACTTGTGCACACTGCACTGCACGCAAATCAACATTTTGACTCCTTTAATACATCATGCGCGGATCATCATTTTGACTTTCCTTAAAAGAGGGAGTGGGTTAAGACCTTACTAAATTTATTACTTTTTGACGGACATTGAAATATTGACACTACCCCTTATCAATTATTATGCTGATGGTCCTGTAAAATAAATAAAAAAGTACACGTAGCATGATTATAGTCGTTTCCAATGTAGTCTTAATATTGAAAAAAGTGGCAGAGACGATCGGAAAACGCAATCCCACGTCATTATAATGTTATTCCGGAGGCGGTTCCTCCCCTACGAGGTCAACGACAAATTTTCCAATACTCCCAAAATTATCTGCAATTAATAATTTGATAATATCCCCTATGTGATTTTTGAGAATCTTGGACACAGAGTTGCTGATAAGGTCGGGTACTATTTCAGTAACAACATCGGGAAGAGCGCCACCTATGATGCGTTCAATGAAACCGTCAAAAATATCGGGCAGGGTTCCCCCGATCACCTTCTTTAGAGACTCGTCTATAATTTCAGAGATGCCACCTCCTACTATTTTCGACATGAATCCACCAAGGACGTCTTTAAGGGCGCCACTGACAATATCTGGGAGGGATTCGTCGATAATCTGAGGGAGCGAATTGCCTACAATATCAGGCACCATAGCTCCTTGAACAGGGGCCACAACCTCGCATTTAATCTCCTCCGACGATTCACTCATTACCTCTTGAACACGATCTCCAACAATACGAGGCAAGGATTCACCAACTTTGTTAATAATTTTATTCTCTAAGGCATCCGGCATGATATCAGTAACAAAATCTGGCATTACTTCATCCCATATTTTTGGTAACGCTGCTGTAAGAATCTTTGGGAGTAGCGCTTCAACAACTTTAGGTACTATATTAGATATAAGATTGGGGAGCGAACGGGCCTCATCCCCGAGGATGTTGGGCATGAGATCTCCAACCACCTTTCCCATGAGTTCACCAAGTACATTTTTCACGGCATCTACGGCCACTTTGGGCATAAGATCATCGATAACCTTAGGAGTGATGTCATTCACTATACCGGGTGTTTTCTCGGAAACCACATCGGGAAGGATGTTTCCCATTACACGCCCCATCAAAGTTTCCACAATCGTGGGCATAGAGTCCTCGATAATATCCGGCATTAGCCCACTCATAGCTTGTTGCAAAGCTTCCGCCATGTCAATTGTTTTGTTATGTTTTCCAATGTATTTTGCCCACACTGCACTAGGTTTGGTACAAGTAGTTTCAATTTCAAGGACAGCTGGATTATACTCATTCGAATTTATTTAGGGTGTATCCATCCATACTCACCAAAAATCGACGAATTGTACGGATTTTACTTCCCTTTTGACGTCAGTTTTAGTGTGCTACATATATACGTTAACATAGCAGTGTCACCGACTTATTTTGAGTGTCTATGAAAACTACGAATAAAAGGCACAGATGTGACCCTTGAATTAAATTAAACACACGATATCATCATACAGTCATATAAATGTTGCAGGCTATCATATATTCAGAACATGTTTTCATCGCAGTAAATTAACTGGAGTAGATAGTTAATGTTAACATTGTATTTATTTTAGTTCACAGGTTATATGTACTTCTGGTATCCACCTTTACACACTGTTGGTAACTTTAACAGTTTTACAACTGTAAAGGTGGGAGTTGAAATATACCTCAACCTTTTCATAATGGTTTATAACATATATTTAGTACAAGGTTGTAAATAATTAACCCTTTGTTTCAATTGGTGTTTGAATCACTACTCATTGACATTATTATTTGTTTCTTTAATGGCACCCTGTACCAAGTACTGAAGTTAACTTCGGGAGAAACAATTGTTTATATAGTTTAAGCCTCAGTCACATTTGCTCTATGGTGCCAACACGTTGACCGTGGTTCCCTGAAATCAATAAATTTCTGCGGCATCATTAGGAAAACTACGGTCGTCTTGCGGTTTCAGTGCGGCATATCCGATCAAGTTTTCTACAGGCCGTAGAGTCGCCGTAGAAATTATAACTCGGAGTGTTTTCATTCCTGTGGTCACCGTAGAAATTAACAAGCCGCAGTCAAACCGTAGAAAGGACACACAGTGGTCGTACGTCAGACGTACGGTCGACTTTCGGGTGCCCTGAGATTTTATGGGTTACAATTGAGTTTTGCGAACTGTATTATTGCCATAAGGACCCCCTGCTCCTAACCGTATGAACGCCCTACGCTGGCCGTGAGTCATCATTTAAAGACCGTACTGCAAATGTGACTGCTTAAGAATCTAACCGCAGACATTTTGAGGCGTAGTGATCGTAGAAATGAAAGACAGTACGGCTACCGTAACTTCCCAATTTTGAGAGAAATATGCAGTATAAAATAAATGGCTAAGCATTCCTATGTAGATTTTCTATATCGATTTTGTGAAGCTACGGTCGCCGTACGCCCGCCGTAGAGCAAATGTGACTGAGGCTTAGGCTTATGTTATCAAGGCTTCATTTTCTAAAAATTCATTTATTCATCATACCAATATTTTAATAAACATTTTATTCACTATAGCGCAGTCAGATGTCCCTTTGGTAGTTCGACTTTTTCAGGAAAGCAACAAACTTGGCACAGTTGTAGAAACATATGATCTGAATGAAAAATGATTTCGGGGCAAGTGATTCGGGGTGGTCTTCATGGATTGTAAGCCTCTGACCCCCACCCCTATCAGGCGGGGAGGGGGTACATTATAATAAAATAAATAAAAATAGTTGTAAAGTATATTTCTTTAAATGACTTCATTTGGTGATTGCTCTGAGCCTTGAAATTGAGAAAAACCTATTTTAGAAGTGGTGTTTAGGGAGGAAAATACATTTTAACCCAATTATCTAACATGAATTCATCTTTCAAAGGGTCAAATATAGGACATCAAGTACTGTATTTCAAGAATGTGATGTCTGATCATCCTGAAAAAATTCATACTAATAGAGATATAGTTGTTAATCACTCATATGATATATGGCTTGTGTAGCTCATGTAATTTTTGAGAAATAAATTATCGAAATATGGATATTTAAGCCCTTGCGGCCTAGGGGTGACCTTATTTTACCTTAATAATTTTTAAGATACGCAATGTTTGGGCCTCATATGAATTCTAAATGTTGCATTAAGTATTGTTTTGTCATATTATTCCTAATTAAATGTAAAAAAATTATTGGAAATTAAAAAAAAATCAAATTTTCATTTTCGGTTCTAAAGGGCCAGGGGTAACCATATTTTACCCTAATAATTTCCCAGATATGTAATATATGCATCTCAAATTAGCTCAAGATGTTGCTTATAGTTCTGTTTTATCATACTTTTTCCAATAAGATGTAGAAAATGATCGGATATATCTAAAAAATCAAAATTTTCACTTAAGTCCTTGATGGCCCTGGGGTAACCTTAGTTTACCTTAATAATTTTCTGAATATGAGACATAGTCACCTCAAATGAGCTTAAGATGGTATATTTAGTCCTGTTTTATCATATCATTCCCAAGGAGTGAAAAAATGATTGGAAATTATAAGAAAATGACATTTTCATATTACACCCCCAATCCGCAACATCTTCTTGCAGCGCTGTAAACAGTACTGAACAGATCAGTCAGAGTACTGCACTATATGTATATATTGCAAATATGTATACCTCAAATATGTTTTATAATCCATGTCAAGTCCCCCAAATGTTTCTTTAAATATTTCTATTCTCATTTAATGATACGGACTATTTAAAGAGAGAATCAGATCTAGCGTGCAGCCCAACAAAAAATTGTCTCAATTTTAGAATATTTCTGGCTCATGCCATTCCTTCTCATGTCTCTTTTCTTAAAATCATCAAGGTGCATACTTCATTTCTGGAAAATTAAAGAGATCTACAATAACGTATAATATTTCAATAAGAATGGCTACCATTCTTATCATTTGGGAGAATTTCAACATTTCTCACTCATTTTTTGCACTTTGAATCCATTATAACTTCACCAATTGATAACATGGCATGAATCTTTTGGAAGATATTGTATTTGACATTGTAAGGATTAGACTGGTAGGTCAATTGTGCACATTGCCTATCATTTTGTCACCCCTAGGCCTATAGACCTGATTCTGCCTTTAAAGCACAATGTAGTAAACCCCTGTAAACAGGAACTTTAAACTACTGTATAGCTTGGTCAATATGATTAACCTTCATAAAATGTAATATGGATATTTTGATCTGTGTTCCATGTTTCCAATTAAAACCTTTTTTAGGAACCCTATATTATACATATGATCGGGATATTCATTTATTTTATTGTAATTAAGAACTACTGTATATAGTATTACTGATACTTTAATCTTCTAATTGACTCAATCCCCCTGTGAATGGGTGAGTCTGATCACTTAGGCTTACACCCCAGTCTAGTTTAAACTTGAGTTATTTTTTTGTCTTCTCAGAAATCTTGAATATGCATCTAAATTAGATGCTCTTCTATATTACTGCAATTGTGTAATAGTACTGCTATATAAATCAGAAAAAATCAAATGTACTCTATTTATACTGCTGCCCTTTCAGGACAGCTCTTCAAAGTCAGACAGTAGTTAGCTATGATTAAAACATCCAAGGTGTTGGTGGTGCTTGGGGAGGGGGCTTGGCTTGGGAAACAAGGTATAGGATAGATAGTATTATGCAATGGAGGGCTGCTATTGGCTTATTTAACTATGGTAGCAAATCAATTAAAAAATACTTTAAAGTCACTTCTAAGGATGGAAGAACTATATACCCTTATCCCATTTTAACCATTTTACTCATGGTCACAACCCTGATTTTCATGTATAAGATGAACTTTGGATTAGAACTCATATTTGCATCCATCTTAGGATTTTTCCTAATCACATACTCGATAGTAACTATTGTTTTACTACCACTAGTTTGTTTATACATAATTAAACTCCAAGTGAAGTCACCTTTTAGCCCCTATACCACCATATTATTTCTAAAACTGCTGCTAAGCTCCTTAGTTATACCAGGGCTACTGACCCTTACATTTACACCAAACGTGACATCAATTCTTCTTCTAATGTCAGGAGATGTGCATCCTAATCCAGGCCAAAATGAAAAACTAACACTTCTGCTTTTAAATATAAATAGTATAACTGCAAATGAAGGTGCAAGGTTTGAATTATTGAAGCGACGAGCAAGGGAAATTAATCCAGCTGTAATCAGCCTCTGTGAGACTGGTATTTCTAAACTCAAAATGGAATCCGGAGACTTTGACATCGAGGACTATAATTCTATTTATAATGAATCAGGTAGAGGTTTAATTATGTATATACACAAAACTTTGGCATCTAAACCATTACACCTAGACTTTTATGTTAAAGGTACTGAAATACTTTTTTCTGAAATTAAGATACAGCAGAAAAGACTACTGCTAGGTGTATGTTATAGATCACCCAGCCTTAATGCTAAAGAAACAAAAGAATATTTCTCATTATTTAAGCAACAATTATCCAAAATTGAAAATTCTGTTCCAAAATTTGACCATGTAGTCATGATGGGAGATTTAAATGCCAAAAATTCTGAATGGTTTGACAACCAGGATGACAACTTAGCAGGAAAAATATTACTTGATTACCTTGATGAATATAATTATACCCAATTAGTGACCCAACCAACAAGAATCACTAAACAGTCTAAAACCTGCATTGACCATATAATAACTGATTCTCCTGATATCTTTGACTCCTGGGAAGTAACTGACCCAATCGGTAAATCTGATCATTGTACTATTTCCTCTAATATAAATATCATAACACACAAAATCAAGCCAATCTGGAAATATAATGAAACCAATATTGAACAATTAAACTCTGAAATCAGAAACTTTAACTGGATGACTATCATAGATGGTGACCTAGATATGAATACAGTAACCACAAATTTTGTTGATAAACTAATGTCCATTTACAAAAAACACATACCTCATAAAATCATCAAACAACAGGATCTTAAGAGGTTCTGGACAAATCATTTGATTCTGGACTTGACATATTTTTTTTCCAACGAAATCACATCCAAGGGTTGAATTTTTATTGGATATTTAGAGAGCGAGTCCTGTATTGATTTCAATAAAAAGGTTAAAATAGAACGCTATTTGAGAGTTAATCTTATACTTTCATTACATTGATAAATTAAGGCAAATTCTGAAAAATTTTAAAGTGCATTTTTTATGAAATATTATCCAAGTATTTAGATGAAACGGTCTTATTTAAATACAAATCATAACATGATGATATTTTTTCATAAAATATTTCTTCAAGAAATTCAATTGAAGGCTCAAGATAAAACGAGCTAATTTAGGTGAAAACCCTTACATGATGATGTGTTTTCATGACTTCTTTCATAAAATTCCATCAAGGGGTGAAAATAAAATGATCGAATTTAGTGATTTAAGGATCACGAGGATAGGTTTTCTTGGATATTTTCTATGAAATCCCATCCAGTGGTCAAGGTAAAATTTTTATTTGGTATATTTGGTCACGTGTTCGAACCCATAGAACCATATAGGAACGTCATTTTGAATGTTACGTGATAAATCCATATAAGGCTTTTAGAACTATGTGGGGAAAGATGAGGGGAAACCCCTGACACCTGTTCACGATTTTATCCGAACGTTCATCGGATCATTTCGGTTTTTATGCACTTCATTATTTTACCGAAGTTTGCCGATTCGATTCGTCGTATTTCGGAATATTGGGGACAATTTTATACTCCATTGGGAGTATTTTTAATCTACTTCTTATTACGAAGATTCCCGAACCTTGTTCGGATTAATCCGGATTTTCTGACCTACTTCATCTACCGAGATTAAACGAGTTTACATTCGGCTCATTTCGGAATCCTGGTGACAATTTTATACTCCATTGGAGTATTTTTGATCTACTTCTTATGACGGAGATTTCCGAACCTTGTTCGGATTAATCCGGATTTTCTGACCTACTTCATCTACCGAGATTTAACGAGTTTACATTCGTCTCATTTCGGAATCCTGGTGACAATTTTATACTCCATTGGAGTATTTTTGATCTACTTTTTCTGGATTTTGCCCTACTTATTATATCTTTACAACAAGCAAATCAAAAAATTCGCCATGAACGGGTCTCGATCGACTAACCTAGAGCATGGAAGCTAGGCACGTTAGCCATGAGGCTAACGTGCAACCGATACGAAAGGATAAAAGTATTATATATTTATACCGAGCGTCAATTCAAAATGATCTTCACTTTTGACTGCACGTAAATACATATCGTCAGTTGTATCCAGAATAGATGAACGCCTATGGTACATAGATTTTCTAACGTTTGAGTGTAACGAATCAGTTTGAAAATTACTTTAAGTATTACGGAAGGCGAAATGTTTATTGCGTAGCATTTTTATTAGGGTGATCGTAGGTGGTAAGTGAGTAGGGTATTCACGCTTGGAGTATTTCATTTGGACATGTGAATTATGTATGTAATGTAAGGTCATTCTCGGTTTACACGCAAGCG